GGGGGAGGGGGCGGAGTATTATACACGAATGCCTAATTAAGCCTGAGCCAAGCTGGGTTCCGAACGGCATGCTCCCCAGAAAATGTCTGAATTTCAGTCTTCTCAAATGATATATCATGCATCTCAAATAACAAGCTTGGCATTAAACAATAACAAACTTCCAGCACTTAAGAAGCAATGTTTTTGTTTTTGCTGTACTCGCCAGTGAAAGAATTCATTACTCCAGCCTTTAAATTAAATATCAAATCCGACTTTGTGCAATGAAATTTACTTTCCTGTAACACCCCTGTTAACCCCAACGATTTACCTTCAGCGCGATTATTTCTTGGAACAAATATAATATATATTGTCGGTATTATGAGGCAGTTACATTGCTCCTAAAAATGATCTGCAGCGCAATCAATACGTGATGCTATAATTGAAACCACTTACTGTGATTTTCTCATCCTTCAGGGTACCTGGTTCAGTGGTGGTATTCAGTGATCCATCAAAATACTGACAGAGTAAGTTTTGTTTTCTTTACAACTTTACTTCGTTCACACGATACAGATGTTCTATGTTGATACACCGTGAACACTTTGGTTTCCATCACAGTCGGCAGGCAAAACGCAATCACGCGCGAAACTGCTCTTTTCAAACTGCGGGGAATAATAGAGGTCTCTTCTAACGTTTCGCCAGCAAGTTGTTCATTTCGAATCACGTTTAACTGTCAGAACGGAAAAAGTACCATATATAATAATTATTTATGATTTTTAAAGACTGCCTTCTACGGTTTTGACGATACTGAAAACGTGCTTAACCTTCGCCAAAAGTGTTGCATTTGTGTTTGTCCACCATGCAGATAATTCTCATTTTGACAGAACTTTCAAGTTAGTTTTTGCAATTTGTTTAACGAATCTATTGATATTTACCATATATGCAGAATCCCAGTCCCACCGATTTTTATACGAGTCACTCTGCTTTCATGGTGTTTTTCTGTTTTCGTGTAGCCAGAGTCGCAATTTGTTGTTGCATAAAACTGTTTACCTGTCATCCCCATATTTCATGATCATGCCGCTTGGTCAAACACAAGTGGTGAAACGCTGTACGCGTACCAAACGACGCAGCGCACATCATGAAAGGCGATGAATCTGAAACCAAACTNAACACTTTGGTTTCCATCACAGTCGGCAGGCAAAACGCAATCACGCGCGAAACTGCTCTTTTCAAACTGCGGGGAATAATAGAGGTCTCTTCTAACGTTTCGCCAGCAAGTTGTTCATTTGGAATCACGTTTAACTGTCAGAACGGAAAAGTACCATATATAATTAATATTTATGATTTTTAAAGACTGCCTTCTACGTTTTTGACGATACTGAAAGCGTGCTTAACCTTCGCCAAAAGTGTTGCATTTGTGTTTGTCTACCAGGTAGATAATTCTCATTTTGACAGAACTTTCAAGTTAGCTTTTGCAATTTGTTTAACGAATCTATTGATATTTACCATATATACAAAATCCCAGTCCCACTGATTTTTATACGAGTCACTCTACATCTGCTTTCATGGTGTTTTTCTGTTTTCCTGTAGCTAGAGTCGCAATTTGTTGTTCTATAAAACTGTTTACCTGTCATCGACATATTTCATGATCATGCCGCTTGATCAAACACAAGCGGTGAAACGCTGTACGCGTACCAAACGATGCAGCGTACATCATGAAAGGCGATGAATCTGAAACCAAACTCAAACTATATACCACAGACAGTGTCCATCGACAGAGTACACTTCATGATCTACTCCTGTAGACCAGAATACTGAAAATCGTATGGCTTGTGTTGTTATTGCTTCTACCAATTAAGTGAATCTTAGCGAAGGAGCTCGCAAGTACTTAAAGGTACTTAAAACTCACAGGCAAAAACAAGCAAAAGAAATTAAACGCAGTGAAAAAGGAAGACCACTTAGGGAAAGACAGAAGACAACTCTCTCTCTGTTTTTTTTAAACGGGCACAAACAGATTGATAGCGTTGATTGAAGAAACAAATACTTATAAATAAAATAAATTACTGTTGACATCGAATAGACAATTAAAGGTCCATTTCCAACTTCAGAGGGATCAGAATCTAAGCTACGTAAAGCTGAAAAAGCTGTCAGTGTTTTTGATATAAAATCTTGGCAGGTTGTTCAAAGTAAAATCGCCTGGAGGATACATGTTTCAGACCTCGATCTTAATGCGATCTTAGGACCA